TAGATAGATAGATAGATAGATAGATAGATAGATAGATAGATAGATAGATAGATAGATAGATAGATAGATAGATAGATAGATAAACTTGTATTATTTATGTGCAGCCCAGAACAAAATGGTCCATGCACTTGTACTGGTACTTGACCTAGTGGTTGGGGAAACCTTACCTGCCGTGCCTGCAAGACACTGCTGAGGACACAAAAATCAAGCATTCGTTGCGGGAGGAGTGCCTGCCTGGCCTCTTCTGTCAAAATTATCACACAAGTTTCTTCTGACAAGAGGAGGGTCAGCAGGTACCAGAACCGAGGTGAACATGGCCCAGGCCAGCATCTTGGTGACTGAGAACCAGTTCAGGTGTCCCATCTGCCTGGACATCCTGAGACACCCGGCGTCCATCCCCTGCGGACACACCTACTGCATGGTGTGCATCAACAACTRCTGGGACCAGGCAGAGCCGCCGGGCCGGTTCAGCTGCCCTCAGTGCCGGGAGAGCTTCAGTCCTCGGCCGGTGCTGCGGAGGAACACGGTGCTCGCCGAGGTCGTCGACAAACTCAGGCTGAGCGGGGTGGTCGGAGAGCCGGGGCTGTACTTGGGGGCAGCCGGGGAGGTTCTGTGCGACCTCTGCCCGGCGGAGAGCAGGATGACGSCAGGGAAGTCGTGCCTGGTCTGTCTGGCGTCCTTCTGCGAAGTCCACGTCCTGCCGCACCGTGAGGTCGGCCCGCTGCGGCGTCACAAGCTGGTGCCCGCGGTGGAGCGTCTGGCGGAGCGGCTGTGCGCTCAGCACCGCCTGGGTCTGGAGCCCGCGGGGCCGGGGAGCCGCTCCGAGAAGGAGGAGGAAGAGCCCGCTGTGTGGAGCGGAAACTGCCCGCTGTGTGAAGCTGAGCAGGAGGAGGAGCGCAGGATGGATGCCCAGAAAGTCAGGAGACAGGTAGAGTTGGTTAGGTGGACTTAAAGTTTTATTCATGAAACATTCAGTTTTTCATCAATATCTGTGACCTGGTCAAGAGGTCAACATTTTCATGGCAAGGCCTTCTCTTACAGCGTATACGGAAAAAAATATAATAATTTGTCAACGTTTGCTCTAACAATTGCTACTTGATTKTACTGAAGATGCAAAAATAGCCTACTTCACCAGACTATAAGTTCAAGATGTCTGTATTATTTAAATTAGCATTAGCATTTCTTGAATTCACAAGTTTATACTGTCAAAAATGGATGAATGAATGGATGGACGGATAAATGGATAACACATAACTAAAATAAAAGTTGTTTAACTATGTATCGATCAAATTATTTTGCATAATGATATTCAATAGTTGTCACATGTCTATAAATCACTTTACAATAATAATAATAATAATAATAATAATAATAATAATAATAATAATAATAATAATATAGATATTTAGTTAGTTATTGTTCTTGTGTCTGTCAGCTCCAGCTTCAGGACTCTCAGAGGATGCTTCAGAGAAGRATCCGAACTGGAGAGGGATACCTGGAAGAGCTTCAACAAGCCTTGGATTCTCTGAAGGTAATAAATACAACACACACAACCAGGGTGATCACCGTTTCAGTCTTTCTATGAATTCTGTACGTCATCAGTGACTTTCCTAGAAGATACTAATTATTTACGTCGAACTGAGACTCCCAAGAGGTAAAACATCTTAGTTTGGGGCCCGAGGGCATCACTGTTTTATTGATGGCTCTTAGAAATCTACAGGTGTACCCAGAATTTCCCTGAAATAAATAAGCTGTTGTTATCCAACACCTTCAGACTACCTTAGTGAGGTCTGCTCAGCCCTGTGGAGGATTGTAGAGCATCCATCTACTGAGCATCATTTCTTTCCTCCCATGCTCAAACAGGTTTAACGTCTTGGGAAATAAAAAGCTGCCTCTCATGCTAGAGGTTTAAATTCAGAATCTCTTGTGTTTGGAAAAATAATTACAGCCTTGGAGCTGTTCTGGTCAAACAGTGAAGTAACATTAAGTCATGCATTGTTACAAGCTGTCGCACTGTGAGTATAAACGTGCATGACTCTGTTAATACCACAAGATTTGTTTTTTTTTATCTCAGTAACTGCAAAACTGACTGAGTTACAGCATTTTTTGTGTTTTTTAAAGTTTGCTTCAAAATGAATCATATGAAGATGTATGTCAAATAATCACTTTTTAAAGATTTTGTAAAATTAATCAAGTGTTTCCTGAGATACATTTGGTAATATATAGACATGCACAGAAGCGGACAAAAATAAAATCTGTCTTTGGTGGTGGTGGTGGGGTTTGGGGACGATAAAGCTCAACCAACTTATGATACTTTTTCTATTTTTTACTTTCAGAAAAAAGCCRTTTTTAAAAATCTGAGAAAATATGTTGACTTTGTGGAAATATTAATTTCATGTTTTGTTTTTTCTTTCTAAAACTGGGCGATATTGTGTGTCATCATTCCTGTGTCTTGGTCCATACATTTTTTTTGATTTTTTTTTTTGATTGGTCCATACATTTTTAAGATAATACTGTTTTTTGACAACCAATTTATTTATTTATAAAGCCACAATGTATGCACTGTACCCATAGCAAAGACGAAGTCCATATTTCACTTGGATCAGTTGGCAGTTGATGTTTAAGATTCAAMTTATCTTTTTTAGAAGGTACTGTTTTTGAGATGATTTAATAATTTTGCTGTTTTTTTTTTTGGTTCCAGGTGTTGGCATCTGTAGTCCTGGAGGACAGTGAAACTCTGTTTTCTGACATGGCACAATGTCTGGAGAGATCTAAAGCTGAGGTGAGAAGCTGAAGCTGAAAGTACGAGGTGTGATGCTGCAAAATATATGTAGAACAAGAGACAAAAAKGAAAGTTGCAGCTGTTGGATCATCTAATTATGTCATATTTTGTATCATATTTCATCTGTTCTGTTCTGTTTTATTCTATCATCTGTTGCATCATGTTTCAGGAATTTAGAGTCCTGAAACATTCCAGCACTTTCAGGACCTTGGACAGTTCCTTCAGTCCTTCACACTGTTTAAAGTCCTGAAACATTCCAGCACTTTCAGGACCTTGGACAGTTCCCTCAGTCCTTCACAATGTACAAGGTCGTGAAACATTCCAGCACTTTCAGTACCTTGGACAGTTACTTCAGCCCTTCACAATATCCAAGGTCCTAAAACATTCCAGGAATTTCAGTACCTTGGACAGTTCCTTCAGCCCTTCACACTATCAAAGGTTTTAAACATTCCAGTACTTTCAGGACCTTTGACAGTTCTTTCAGTCCTTCACACTGTCCAAGGTCCTGAAACATTCCAGTTCTTTCAGGACCTTGGACAGTTCATCAACCCTTCACACTGACCAAGTTCCTGAATCATTCCGGCACATTCGGGACCTTTTTTCAGTTTCTTCAGTCCTTCACAATGTCCAAGTGTGGAAACATTCCAATTCATTCAGTACCTTGGACAGTTCCTTCAGCTCTGCACACTGTCCAAGTTTCTAAAATATTCCAGTACTTTCAGGACCTTGGACAGTTCCTTCAGTCCTTCACACTGTCCAGGTCCTGAAACAATCCGGTTCTTTCAGGACCTTGAACATTTCCTTCAGCCCTTCCCACTGTCCGAGGTCTTGAAAAGGTCCAGTTCTCTCAGGACCTTGGACAGTACCTTCAACCATTCACACTGTCCAAGGTCCTAAAACATTCCAGTACTTTCAATACCTTGGACAGTTCCTTCAGTAATTAACACTGTCCAAGGTCCTGAAACATTCCAGTTCTTTCAATACCTTGGACAGTTCCTTCAGTAATTAACACTGTCCAAGGTCCTGAAACATTCCAGTTCTTTCAATACCTTGGACAGTTCCTTCAGTCCTTCACATTGTCCAAGGTCCTGAAACATTCCAGCTCTTTCAGGAACTTGAACAGTTCCTTCAGCCCTTCACTTTGTCTAAAGTCCTTCAACATTCAAGCATTTTCAGGACCTTGGACAGTTCCTTCAGCACGTCACTCTTTCCGGGGTCCTGAAACAATTCAGCACGTTCAGGACCCTGGACCGTTCCTTCAGCCCTCCACATTGCCCAAGGTCCTAAAACATTCCAGTACTTTCATTAACTTGGACACTTCCTTCAGTTATTCACACTCTCCAAGGTCTTGAAACATTCCAGTTCTTTCAGGACCTTRKACAGTTCCATTAGCCCTTCACACTGACCAAGTTYCTGAATCATTCCGGAACATTCGGGACCTTTTTTCAGTTCCTTCAGTCCTTCACAATGTCCAAGTGTGGAAAYATTCCAATTCATTCAGTACCTGGGACAGTTCCTTCAGCTCTTCACACTGTCCAAGGTCCTWAAACATTCCAGTACTTTAAGGAAATTGGACAGTTTCTTCAGCCCTTCATACTGTCCAAGGTCCTGAAACATTCCAGCACTTTCAAGAACTTGGGRAGGTCCTTCAGCCCTTCACACTGCCCAAGGTCCTGAAACATTCCAGCAATTTCAGGACATTGGACAGTTTCTTCAGCCCTTCTCKCTGTCTKAGGTCCTGAAACATTTAAGCTCATTCAAGACCCTGGACAGTTCYTTCAGACSTTCTCACTGCCCAAGGTCCTAAAACATTCCAGTACTTTCAGTACCTTGGACAGTTCCTTCAGTTATTCACACTGTCCAAGGTCCTGAAACATTCCAGTTCTCTCAGGACCTTGGACAGTTCCTACARCCCTTCTCACTGACCAAGGTACTGAATCTTTCTGGCACATTCAGGACCTTTTTTCAGTTGTTTCAGTCCTTCACAATGTCCAAGTGTGGAAACATTCCAATTCATTCAGGACCTTGGACAGTTCCTTCAGTTATTCACACTGTCCAAGGTCCTAAAACATTCCAGGATTTTCAGTACCTTGGACAGTTCCTACAGCCTTTCACACTGTCCAAGGTTCTAAAACATTCCAGTACTTTCAATATCTTGGACAGTTCCTTCAGTCCTTCACAATGTCCAAGTGTGGAAACATTCCAATTCATTCAGGACCTTGGACAGTTCCTTCAGTTATTCACACTGTCCAAGGTCCTAAAACATTCCAGGATTTTCAGTACCTTGGACAGTTCCTACAGCCTTTCACACTGTCCAAGGTTCTAAAACATTCCAGTACTTTCAATATCTTGGACAGTTCCTTCAGTCCTTCACACTGTCCAAGATCCTGAAACATCCGAGCACTTTCAAGACCTTGGACAGTTCCTTCAG